TTGTCGATTATTGCTGGCGGTGGCACCAAATCTTCCAGTTTCAGGTAGAAAATGCGCTGCAGCCCCTGCGTGCAAAGCGTGCGGAGTTCGGGGAGCTTCCCCAAGAGTTTGGACAAGTAGTTGGGGCGATTCAGCCCCCCATTATTAAAAGTCACATGGTCTTTCAGACAATTCACAATCTTGTTTTGAAGCTCTTCCACCCTCTTGGGTTCTTTAAGCCCATGCCGCTCTGTAAAACAGAAGAATGTGGGAGGTTATGGGTGGGAGAGGGAGAGGAAGGTGGCAGGAGGGGAATGGGAGTTGCCAGGGGGCTGAGGGGCACTGACCTGTGACCATGGCCAGGGCAGCGATGCAAGAGAAGGCAGAGATATCGATGTTCATGTTTTGCAAGTTGGAGGAAAATTCAACAATGGAATCAATCCACTCCCCAAAGCCGCGGACGCACTGCAACCGGTGCAGGACTACCCCGTTGCAGAAGATAAGCTTGCCCTCCACTGGGTTTGACCTGGAAGGAATGTGACATCCCCAACATGAGCAGATGAATGAATGAGTAAAAAGGAAAAAATCAAATAGAAAGAGGAAGAAAAGAAAGAGTAGGAGAAAAAGAGAGAAGGACAAAAGATAAAGAGGGAAGGTGAGAAAGACGGAACAGTGGGAGAGAGAAAGGAGAAAAGGGGGGAAAGAGAGAAAGAGGCAAGGGGAGAAAGAAATAGACAAGGGGGGAAAGAAAGAAAGAGGCAAGGCATGGAAGTGTTAGAGCTAGAGATAGGTGGAGGCATAGAGATATAGAGATAGAGATATAGAAATAGAGATGGAAAAATAGAGAAGAGTAAAAGAGAATAAAAGAAAAAGAACAGAGAAGAAAGATTTAAAAACAAAAGGAAAAGAGAAGATGGGGTGAGAAAAGCTAAACAACTAATTACTTGAAGAGCAATAAATGAAGGATTTAAGAGGCACCTAATTACTGAGGAGTTAATAAAATGCAGATCAGTGGACCCTGAAAGGATCTGATTCCATAACGGCCCAGAAGCCCCCCTCGGGTCCAGGCACTCACCTGTATGCCAGCCGCAGCACAAACAGCTCCAGGAAGGCAGATTCGAAGAGTAGGTCCTGGTCTGTCTTTGGGAGGTCAGTGAAGCCAGGGATTTTTTCTGCCCATCCTCGGATGATCTCCATAGAGCCAGTCAGGAGATCGTAGAACTGCTGGATGTGCTGAGTGTCATCTCCACTTATCTGGTAGTCGGGGTTAGCCTGGAACTGGAAATCCATTTTGAAAAGCGCTTAATGAGGTTCTCTAAAGTATATAACCCGTGAAATTGCTAGCCCCGTTTCTAGTCGGGGAGCTGGGTTTTTACAACAATTAAACCTCACTCTGACCAGGGAGGAAATTAGACGTTCTGGGGCAATTAATCCGGTTAGGAGCAGCACTCCAAGGCGGCCGCTCTCTGCACACAGAGGCCAGTGCGTGCATGGCCTGTGTGCAGCCACAGGCAGAGCCCCTGCCGTTTGCCCCAGAGCTGGCCCAGGGCAGGGGGGGGCAGCCGGGTCACCTCTCCCGGGCCACGGGGCGCAGGTAAGTCCCTACGCGAGCTCGGTCCAGCTTACCCTGGAATAGTCCAGGCTGGTCATAGCCGGGTTGGAGTCGACATGGGCTCTCACCAGCGCACTGATCAGACTCACCGGGGGAGAGGGGGGAGAGGGCTCCTGGGGGCTCTTCGGTTTGGATGGCAGGCGACCCCTCCGGCCTTTGAGGCTGTCTGTGCGCACCACTGCAAGAGAGACAGGGCTCAGCCAGGGCCCGGCGCGGTACAGCCCAGCGTGGCTTGGGAAGCACGGCTCCCACAGACTCACACTCACCCTCCTTCACCATGCCGACGGCCAGGCACTTCTGGAAGCGGCAGTACTGGCAGCGGTTGCGGCGGCGCTTGTCCACCGGGCAGTTCTTGTTGGCCAGGCAGACGTACTTGGCATTCTTCTGCACTGTGCGCTGTGGGGGGGACGGGACCAGGCAAGCAGCATCAGTGGTCAGGTCCACAGGTCCACTCCTGGGCCACCTCAATCTCCCCAACCTCTGTCTTTACTTCTTATCCCCCCCCCCCCCTTTTTTTTTTCCTCCTTTCTTTCTTTTTTTTTTCCCCCCCCCTTTCCCAGGGCATTTAACAGGAGAAAATTGATAGCGTTAACATTTGAGCTAACCTTGCAGCTCCTAGCTGTGTTTTATATGCCAAGAGGAGGAAAGGAGACGCTCGGTAAATACAAATCCGTGGGCATTCATATTATTTACATTCCTTGGAGACCTCCTCTATTTAAAATGATAAGATTATTCAATCAGGATGGTGAAATAAAGAGATCACTTAATGTTACCACAGGGAATTCTGTTCCACATGGTTAGCTCAGACGCAGCTCTCTGTCCTAACCGATTTCCGTCTGAAGGGGAAAGCGGCTGCTGGCCCCAGTGCCCCCCCGCTGCCCTGCCTGTCACCCGCTGCCCATTGCCGATCACCCACAGCTCACCTTGAAGAAGCCCTTGCAGCCCTCGCAGGTGCGAACACCATAGTGCTGGCAGGCAGCGTTGTCCCCACAGACGGCACAGAGCCCCTCGTTGGAGGGGGACCCCCGTGAGGGTGGCGAGGGCACCTGGCTCTCCAGCAGCTGCGGAGCATGGCCCAGCTGCAGCCCCGGGAAGGCCATGGAGGGCTGCTTGCGAATGGGGTTGGGGACTGCAAAGGCCTGTCCGTCCACGGTGTGGTGGGCCCCGGCTGGCTCGGGGTTCATGGGGACATGGAGTGGCCCGTCAAAGCGCATCTGGCAGCTGGAGACAGGGGTGCCGGGGGGCGACTGCTTGAAGGAGAAGAGGGAGAGGCGGGAGACAGGCGTTTTGCGTTGCTCGAGCATGTGCGTGGTGGCCACATAGTTGGGGTGGAAGTTGTGGAGGGAGCCAGGGTCGTCCCACACGGGGCCGTGCTGCACCTGGAAGCCGGGCGTAGAGGGGGTCGGGGGCGACGAGGGCTTGTAGTACACGGAGCCTGAGTGGGACATCATCTCCTCGGACTGAGAGGGGAGGTGGCCGTGCTGCTGGTAGCCATGCATCTGAATGTCTTCCACCTTAATGGAGGACTGCTGTCCGGAGAGGGGCATTTGGTACAAGCAAGGTGGCTTCACGTCGTAGCTTGTGTTGTAGTTGTCCATAAAGGTACTGAAGCTGGGGAGAGAAGTGGTGGCAGTGATTTCAGTGTTGGTGAGGTCCATGCTAAACTTGACAAACTCCGGAGTTAAGAAATCGGAGCTGTATTCTCCCGAAGAGTGGTAATTGTAGCTCTGGGAGGCCGGGCTGGCTCCTTGAGGCGAGGACCCATACTGAGCCTGAACACAGGGCATGGCTGGAAACGAAACATGGTCATGTACACTCGGCCGCACAACGCGCTCCCTCCGCCCGCCCCGTCTCGTCCCGCCCTGCTCCGCGCCGGACACCGCGATCCACGGCCGCCGGGGGGGAACGGGGTCGGCGGCGAGACCCCCCCTTCCTCACCGCGGGAAAGAACCGCACAAACCTTCAGCCGGGTGAGAGGCGTTTTCGGGAGAGCCGAAGGCGGACAGCGTCGGAGCTCAGCGGGGAGCGGAGTTTCCGCGGCTTCAGAGCACGAAGGAGGGCTCCAGCCTGCCCGGCGCGCTGGCTGAAACACAGACACACCGACCGGCTCTTCAGGCGTTACGGGGCGGCGGCGGAGCGCGTAGAGTCCCTGGGTTGGGCTCGGCTCGGGGGGGGGGGGGCTTTATAAATTGGGAGGAAACTTTCCACCGGCAGCTGCGCTCGGCTCTCGGCCACCGCCGGGATTGCCCCGCGGTGTCAGGTGGAGACAAGCCGGTCCGGTTTTCCGCCTCTACCGGCAATGCGAGAGGCGCGTCCCCCGGGGGGAAGCCGGGCGAACAGCCGAGGCTCTCGGGGACCGCGAGCCGCCGCCGGTGCTGGGAGAGTTGACAGCCCGCACCGGGCAGCCCACGGGTGACACGCGGCCACGGGCGGTCAGTCCCGGGCTGGAGAAACGCCGGGCGCGCCGCGGCACCCTGCTCCCACGGGCGATCGGCGGGACGGGAGCGCGAACGCGCCGCCGCTACCCCACGCCCCCCCTCCAGCGCCTCGCGCGTGGAAACCCGGTGTGAGCGCGGGAATGGGGGCGGACGGACCGGTTGCGCGCGCGGGCACTCACCGTAGAGCGGCGGCCCGTGAGCGCATCCAAGTGCCGGGCGGCGGCAGGCAGAGCGGCGTCAGCGTCGCGCCGGGCGGGCGAGGCGGGCGGACTGGCCCTTCCCCGCAATGTGCCTTTGTTTATGTGGGCTCCCCGCTCCACAGCCAACGTGCGCCTCGAGCCCCTGCGCGTCACCGCGCGTCACCGCCGCACCCACCAATCCGCTCGCCGAGGGGCCGGCTCGGCCCCGCCCCCGCGGCAGCGCGCTCCCTTTGGTAAATTTCCGACGGTGACGTCACGCAGCGGGACACGCCCCGAGCGGGCGCCCCCTCGGTCGTTCCCCCCTCCGCTCCCACCCCCCGACGGCAGGGGAGCCCACGGCGCCGCAGCAGACCAGCGCCGCTCCTCGCGCCACGTCCACGCGCGGCACCTTAAGCGCGAGCGGGGCGTGGCCTCATTTGCATAGAGGGCGGTTGCGTCACTCGCCGGGCGAAAGGGAAAAAGTGAGAGCGGGGCGTGGCGGCGGCGCGCGTGTTCCCCACCCACCCACCCACCCCGCGTCACCATTGACGCAACCGCCCGACGCGCCAAAAATAGCGCGCGACCCGACGGGAGCTCCCCGGGGCGGCAGCAGCTCCCGGGCACCCGCTGGCGCGGGTCCTCGGGGCCTCCCCACTCTCCCCACACCCGGCTTGTTAGAGGGGAAAACCCCTCTCTGTGAAAGCGAGGAGCCGGGAGCCGCCCCACGCCGCCTTTCATCTCTGCTCCCTGCAGACGCACGCAGTGGTCCTTGTTCCACTTCCCACGCAAAACTGAAGCGGGTTTTATTTTATTCGCCCCCTGCGCAATGCCGACACGCCACCCGCGCATTCCCCATTAATAGCGCGAGTCCCAGGCAGCACGGGCCAGAGCAGCATCAGGACTCAGAGCAGAACCATATTTGTGTCCTGGACGGCAGCGTGCTCATTAAAAGCCCATCAGTCATCTTTGCTCCGCAGGGGTGTCGGGCAGCAGCCGCAAGGGGTGTTGGCGGGGTTGCTTGTCCAAAGGGGATGTGGAGGGATGGGAAGGTGTAGTAGGCTGCGGAATGCAGCTCAAACACCAGCTCTGTATTGTCCTGCAAGACTCTCCATTGCATCCAGCCTGCAACAGAAAAAGGCAGAAGTCAGGTAATGCTGCTTCCTTTCCCACAGGAAACTGAGTCAGTCACATGCACGGTGCAGCCTGGCTGCTCGCAGGTACCTTCTCCGAGATGTTCAGTAGACGCGTGCATGCAATATGTGTTCAAGGCTGGGAGAAGATGCTTCCAGTCAAACTCCATAAGCACCAGTCTGCACAGGATGACAATAAAAGGCAGCGCTCCCAACATGGCACGGCCTTAACCCAGAAAGTCAACATTTCAACAAAAACCCTACAGAGCACTTCACTATGAACAGTTTATGTGAAACTGTGATCGTTCCTCCTTAATACGTTCCTCTCGCTGTGAGTCCTCACCCTTCACACAGGCTTTTCCCTTTCAGCTCCCAATGTAAAAACTCCAACACCCAACAAAACAAACTGCTTCTACCTCCTGGTTCACTCGCATCCAGAAAGACAATCTCCACTCTGCAGTTGTGCTCTGTTGCTCCTACAGAATTACTATCGAGATCTCTCCAAGAGGAGGCAAGATGGTAAAGCTGAGTAAAGAGATCATGTAACGCTGTAAGACGGCTCTGATCTCAAGGGCTGTTTAACCGTCGCGTTGGTGGTTTGACATGCTGCTTTGGCTTCACCCCATGGTGCTTGCCCAATGGACACTGGAGGAGCTCAGGCAGTTACCCTGCACCCATGTGTGCCCTGGGCCACCAGGACCCTGCCACAGAGCTGTCACATCACGATCAGCACCAGCCAAATCACAGCAGTCCATACAGTTTGAGTATCACATAAGAAACTTACTGCAAAGGCCCTTTTAGGGATAAGTAACACACCTAATTACCATATCCTTAGAATAGATGTAATATAAATTTCATTACTCACTTAAAAGTTCTAAAGTTAACAGCATAAACTTGAAGTTGAGTAATTAAGTAATCCTTATATAGACACTTATTAAAGTATTTATACATATTATCTTAAATCTACATCTATCATTTTGCCAATTAAAATTAGGACTTTAATTGCAATTAAGTAATTTAATTGCCAATTGAACAGCAAAATTGCTAAGTGACTAATTTTAATGCCTATTTTAATTACCAATCATGACTGGGGAGGGAGCTAATCAAGCAGTATCAGAGTAATGATGTGAAAAAAAAAGGAGAACAAACATTCGAGACTACATGCTTTTAAAAAAGAACTCTAAATTAAATAAATGCAAACACAATTTTACACATGTGGTGAAATGCTGTATTTTGGTGTCTAAATGCAGGAGCACAAAGAACACATTTAATTAAAAAGAACTGCCACTCTCCTCCAGGTGCTGGTGGAAACAGGATGGCATAGATGGTCCCCACACACACACCAAGGCCCTTAGAAAGTGTTGTGGTGATCACAGCAGGAGCCCCTGTGAACACATGAGATGCCCTCAACTCCCACAGCCCAGGGTGATGGAGAAACACTGAGCCCGGCCACCACAGGGAGAGGGAGTGCCTTCCTTTCCCATTCCTGGGGCCCATTGTGTCTCTTTCCCCAAAGGAAAAGCAACAGGCACACACATGCACATCACACCTGTGTGCACACATCGCTGTGTCATCACTGCTCCACTCCCATCACTGGCTAGAAAAAGGTGGATCACTGGCATTTTTGACCTGTCACCAAGCATACTCCAAAAAGTAAAACACATCTTCCTGAAAAGCACCACCCAATGCTAATGAGGTTTTCCAGCTTGCAGCTCATTAGAACAGCTTCCATGGGATTATGCACTGCAACTGACCCCAGAGGCCATATATGGGGATCCATTCACGTGTTGGCCTGCTTCAGGCACAATTGTTTGCAATAAAAGCACCAAAATTCATGTCACTCCAATCTGTGAGCATAGGACGTTCCCAAGAGAAGTCACAGGATTTTTAAGGAACTGATCTCTGGTTGCTGTAGTACCTCTAGTAGTAGAAAGACCACCACTAGATCCCAGTCATTGCGATTCAGTTCCTGGCCACCATTCCACCCAAGCACTGCTGCTGTGAGCAGGGTTCATCATCAGCTTCGCAGCCAGCATGGCCAGACACAGTCAGTGCTGCAGCTCACACCCATGGGAACAACCAAGCATCATAAACTCCATGAAACCCCAGTCTCCAATGTTTTATTAATGCTTAGAGCCTGAACTATGCTATGTGCTGGGCAGCTTTGGGCATAATGGTATTGCAGGGACTCTGCACAAAGGAATCCTTTGTTTTGTACAGAGACAGCCTCAGCTCTCTCTCCTGGGTCAGACATGTGGGTTTGCTTCTTCTCTTCGCCAGGCCAGCAAGCCTTGGCTGGTGCCCGGTACAACAGCAGCCTCACTTGTGCGTGTGTGTGAAGAGGGTGCTGCACCAGCAATGCAAGTTCTGCACCAGGACCTTCCCTGTGTGAAAGCACTTTGAATACTTGAGACAAGTATGGGTGTCCCACCCAACCCAGGCAAGTGTTGCAGGATGATGTTTTGGGAGAAGGAAGCTTTATTTCCTCTTCAACAAAGAAAAAGTTTAAGACTTACAAAAAGGTACTGGATATTGGAAGACACGATATGTACAAGTGGCTGATTTGACTCCTATCAGGTGTTCCTGCTACAGGCCAGGAATATGTTACCCTGCCAGAGAATGAGGGGCTTAAGAGACAGATCTGGGTCTCCTGAGCACTCGTGACTGAGTATTCCCGCTCCATGAACACACATGCCACGGACAAATGTTTACACTGACATCCACTGGTGTTATCACTGAGACATCAAAAATTAGTAGTGCCACTCAGGGTGTGCCTTCCAGAGGGAAAGAAAACTTAACGTGTCTTTTTGTCCAACCAGCACTTATTTGAAGGAGGTGTGAAACCCCAAATGCAAGTTCAAGTGGGGAAGGAGGCAGGATGCATGCTCAGCACCAGACTTGCACCAGCACCTGGGCCCAGCACCACAAGCAGCTGCTGAATATCGGTGTCCTCGTGGTGGCTGCAGTGCCAGCAATGACCCCCCCTCCGGGACATACCAGCAGCACCAGCTCTGGAACAGGGAATGAGAGCACATGCACCATCCTGCTTTCCTTGCAAGCGACATATGCCATGAAGTTGCATGCTGATGTGAAGTTAGATCTCTGACTTGAAGTTAGAGCTGTCAGGGCACAGGAGTGGCTCATCACCAGGCTCGGATGCAAATGGAGCAGCTCACAAGCACCCCGTTATTTTGTATTTTCCTAAAACTTCCACAGGAAGTTCATTTCCCCTCCTTTGCTGCTCTTAGTTGACTCTTGATGCTTAGTGGTGATGGTAGAATTAGATGATACAAAGTATTTATTACTATGATGTCTATTTCTGCTCATATTCTTATTAACGTGATTATTCTATGGAAGACTATAAAGCTGTATTTCTCCTTTCTTATCGCTACCAGCATGCACGATGAGTCACACATCAGGCTCTGCCTGCTCTGACAGCTGCAAACTCACGCTCCGGTGTTTGAAGCCCGGCTCAGTTCTGCCACATCATTCACCCAACGAAGATCCATTCACCACCTCATCGTTACCTAGGTCAAGGAACCGAGGTCGCACGGAGCCACTGATCTCTCCGAGCTGAGCTGTGATGTTTTTCCTGGGATACGTTTGATTGATATCCGTCGGGGTGGAAGGCTAAACGGACCATATGGCACGTGTTGCATCCCATATGGTCTCTGCCCATCCGTGCCTAAACTCCCATTAGCAACAGCTGCCCTCCCCGCAATCCAGCTGCGCGGGAGGCGCCGGCGGAGCCGCGCACCGCCCCGACTAGTTCCTGGCCTCAGAACCTCCGCCCCGCGGCCCGCGGTACTCCCCGCCGCCCGCCGCTACCTGCCGCCGCCGCGGAGCGGGGCCCGCAGCCCGGAGCCTCAGCCCCGGGGACCGCCGGTCCCCCTCGCCTGCCGCCGCCAAGCGCGTCAGCGCCCGTCACCGTGGCGGCCCTGTGACGGCAGCGCCGCTGGAGCTGCCCCGCGTCCCCCGCCCGACCCTGCCCCGGGAGCGCGGCGAAGGCCCCCCACCTACCCCGCCGCGGTCAGCGCTCCCCGATCGGTTCGGGGCTGGCAGGAGGGGAAGTTCTGGGGGGGGTTTATCTGGATTTTTTTTTTGTTTGTTTCGGGTTTTTCCACACACCCCCGACACCGGGCTGGCCTCGCTGGCACTGTGCGGCGCTGGAGACGCTGCTGCAAACGTGGAATTAGCTTGCTCCCACTTGAGGACTCTGCATCTCTCGCTGCTGCGCACCTCCGGGCTTTGGTGTCAGCCGAGCGTCCCCTGGATGGAACCAAGCCTAGAAAACGGATTGTTTGAAATACCTTGTTACGTTTTTCTACAGAAGAGGCCACGGAGTTGCTCGAGGGCTGGAGCACCTCTCCTGCGGAGACAGGAGAGAGAGATGGGGTTGTTCAGCCTGGAGAAGAGAAGGCTCCAGGGAGACCTTAGAGCAGCTTCCAGTGCCTAAAGGCGCCAACAAGAAGGCTGGAGAGGGACTGTTTACCAGGGCAGGTAGGGATAGGACAAAGGGAAATGGCTTTAAACTGACAGAGGGGAGATTTTAGCACTGTGAAGGTGCTGAGGCACTGGCACAGGTTGCCCAGAGAAGTTGTGGCTGCCCCATCCCTGGCAGTGCTCAAGGCCAGGTTGGACGGGGCTTTGAGCAACCTGGTCTACTGGAAGGTGTCCCTGGCCTTGGCAGAGGCATGGAACTAGAAGGTTTTTAAGGTCCCTTCCAACCCAAACCATTCTATTATTCCATGATTCTATGATAAACCACACAGCAATATTACTTAAACACACACACCACCTCCACATTCATACTACGACACAGACATAGATAGGATTTTTAACTGTTTTCCTAAATTGTTTGGAAATGCCAAAAGTAATAATGACACTGCAGGGACTGTTACAGCTTCTTATTTGCTGTTGGCTTCTGAATTGCTGTTATTGGACAGAGATGCCAGCCAGGCTGGAACAATGGCAAAGCAAGCCTAAGATGGTCCCATGATCAGCATGGGCCCCTGTGCTGTCACTGGGCTGGTACAAGGAAGGTGATTTGGACAAGGCAGCAGCTGCTTGATGAGCAGGCCAGGGAAGGGACAGTGGACAAGTAGAGCTGCATCAACCCAGTTCTTCCAGTAGAATATCTAAACATAGTCATACTTTTTTTTCCCCTAGAATGCACATATGGAAGCATGGAGCTGCTCCACATTCAGCAGCTTACTGGGGGCCACAGGTACTGGGTAGGCACATCTGACTGTGAATAAATCAGGACTGCATTGCAGCAGGAAGGGCTGGCTCTGTGGGGAACGCTATCAGGACACTCATCAGGACTGCCTGGAGTAAAAGAAATCTCTCTGTATTTAAAAGCATGAGAACCCCAAGCCATGATTTCCAAGTCCTCTTGCTGTTTGCCACCCACACCTCCAAAGAGGACCCCTCCCCTCTGCCCGAGTGCAGTCCATGTTAGCAATGCATGAGTAACTAGGATGGTGAAGGCAATGCAGAGCATCCGGATGACTGGCGGCTGTCTGTGGTGATGGCAGAGGTGGCCGGGGTCTGCACAAGCTGTCACCCCGCTGCTTTGGGAATTGTCTCAGGGTTTGGCTCCAGGCTGTTCTGTCACCTCTGGAAACACCCCCAAAATGACACTCAAGTGATATATTTATGCCACAAGCACTCTAAAATAGCATGAATACACATTATTTTCCCACATTTTGGTAATTAACTGACAGAACACAGAGAAATCTGGTTTAATTAACTATTTTCTGTAAGTGAAACCCTTTTTGTTGTTTTAAGTGAAATACATTCTTATTCTGGGAGGGATTTTCTAGACCCATCTGGGATCCTTCCCCCTCATACAGTCCTCAGAAATACATTCTCAGGAAGATGCTGCCATATTTGACTGTGGGAAACCAAAAATTCCCAGTTGTTTTGCAGCCAGCATGGCCCTCTCCAGCAGCTGGCTGCACCAGGAAGTGTTGCTGACCCCATCTCAGGAGAACACCATCCAGAGTGCGTTGTGCAAGGGGGCAATGAGGAGCTCTGGAAGTGCCTCCAGATCTGTCTGGGGCTAGCGCTGCTCAGAGCTGGAGCCAGGAAAGGCACTCAACACAAACCAAGTATTATTCCCAGAAATGTTTTTCATTAGCGGAGCCTCATAACAACAGCAGAGGGTTGCTCATGGTATCAGGAGCTTTGTCTCACAGGTGCCAAAACCACCTGTGCAAGAGAGGGTGTTTCTCAGGACATCATAGCATTGTTATCATTCATCCTGCATTGTGGTTGCTTGCACAAAGCCTCACAGATATGAAACATAATGCTGGAGGAATGTCTGGTCTGACCAAGTTACCATGAGTCTATTTCTGTAATCTCCACCTAGAAGCAGTTTATTGAAGACCTCTCAAAAATCTTACTGTGAGATGGAGTCACTGCCAGAAGCAGGAAGTGTTTGGCCTGGTGAATTCACCACCACCGATGATGCTTATGCAGCCTTGCTTGATGAAACAGTTGTGTACAAACACAACAGGGTTCGAAAGCAGTGGATGCGCAGCCTGTGGTTTCAAGGGAGGTGGGCAGCAGTGCCAATGGCCTCACTGAACGCGGTTCCAGCCACAGTGCTCAAGGGCTAATGGGCAGTGCTTCAGGGCTTTACCCTGCCCCTTTGCTCCAGTCTTAAGGAAATAATTTTTCATTGAGGCTATACGCCTCGAAGCATCCCAAAATAGAGATATTTTGAGTATTTTATGCAGTATCTTTGAAAACCATTGTGCTCACAAGTGCCGAATGGGAGATCTGTGTGTGCCAGCCCCAGCAGTGCCAGACTCCTCCTCTATGGCAGTGTAGCCTGGGTTGAAATGGTGGCAGAAGCAGAACTCCCCAACTCCAGGCTGTCCAGGGCTGGCTCTGGGCTGGTGGGCAGCTCTGCCGGGGTACCCTGTGTCAGCAGCTGGGTCCCCCTCCGCTGGGATCTGGCCTGGGGCAAGATGCTTTCCACAGGGATGGGCAGTTTTCATCTTGCTGTTTTCTCAGACAACTCCAGTGAAGGCATGGTTTGCAAAACTCACTCTCGGTTTCTAGGGGTGACCAAGTTGTATTTTGCATTCATTGCTCTGAGCTGAGTTACAAAACACTGCCTCGTTTTGGCAAGAGGGCTGTTGAAGCTTTTTTTCACTGCTGAAGGTACTGACAGTACTAGAGGGCGTGTGACAGCCACTGAGGTGGAGCCTGGGCGTGCTGTGGGACAACCACCAGAAGTAGACTTACCAGCATCATGCATTTGCCCAGCCATGCAGATGACCATGACCTTCCTTGATAACCAGTTCCATGTCAGGTGTCGAGCAGTTAGTGAATGCCAGAAAACAAGTTCAGAAAAAAATCTCATGAGAATTCCAGTTATCTCATGGTAAGAGGCTCATACTGTACTGCAGGCTTCTGAAAATAGTGGTAAAATTAAGGAAAAACAATCATGATAGTTATGAATTTGCAAAACTCGTCATGTATGTGATGGCTGCTGTCATTAGAGGTAAATGGGAGGGAGAATAAACCCATTAATGGAGGATGTTAATTGAAAACAGGACTTGTGTAGAGAATGGTGTTCGTAATTACAAGAATAGTTATTAAAATACTATTTTGCTTTTCAAAATGCCTGACTTTAATACAGAGTATGAAGGAGTTATGTTTTTAAAAGTTAATTATTTCCAGTGCTTTGAAAAGGGAAGTCTAAGCTGAAAATGATTTACCAAAATTATTAAGACAGTTTTTTAATTATCCTTTTTAAAACACTGCAGTAGAGTATCGGCTGAGCCTTAGTTTTACTTTCCCTAAGACGTGTGCTTTGCTCCTCTGGGGACCCAGCTCTTCTGCAGGGCTTGCTCTGGAGCTGCAACCTAGCTGCACCTACAGTGGGGAGCACAGCTGCAGTCTGTGGCGTGCCAGGGCTCCCAGGTATCATTTTTGACTTGCTGTTATGGCCTTTCAGGGGTGCTTTGGTCATCCTACCCATGGCAGCATTGATGTTGGCGGCTTTTCTTCATGGTCTCCTGGTCCCAGTGTGTCTGCTCAGGCTCATGCTGTGCTCGCTTCACTGCCTCCTCTCCCAGATGGGTTCTGGCCCATGCCCTGAGGTGCTAGTAAGTTCTGCGCCCAAGGGTCTTCTTCCGTCAATACTTTTTGGAGCCCTAGGTTGGTGGGGATCAGCACTGGGTCAGGCTGGCTGAGCAAGGGGCACCCTCTCCCTCCTTTGGGCTTCCTGGGCTTCACAGCCTCCAGCCACCTCTGGAGGTGCACTCTGGGGAGGACCTGGCACTGCAGCTGCTGCAGTTCCCAGAGTGGCTGCAGACATCTTGCAAGAATCAGGAGAAAACAAAAAGGAGCATTTTTGTGGAGAGTAAATACCGGTTAGAGCTGGGCACGTCGTGCAGTAAGCAGATCCTTGGCACAGCAAGCTGCATAGCAACATCTGCTGCACTGGTGTCTCCAGCTCATGCATGTGAACTTTAAGTTGTTAACATAAGTACTTACTACAGGGTTCATGTGCATGGAGGTGAACATATCATAAGCTCATGTGCTGTGCACAACCAGTGTGTCTGCTGTGCAGGCTCACTAGATCCTACAGGGATCACAGCAGAAAGCACAGCCTCAAAAATCATGCTGTGAGGACCGCATTTTCCACATCTCCGTAGGTTGCGAGGAGGGTGTCAAAGCTTTGACCCCTCTTGCCCTTCCCACAGCACACCACTGATTTCAGCAAGGCTCTGCTGGAATGTGGTGCAGATGTAGCACTTACAGACACCCAGTGGTATGCAAAGTACCTGCTTTCCATGTCCGGTCCATGAAATAATCATGGAGAAACGGGCAAGTAATAAGGCACAATAAATCACATAGTTGTCTTTGAAACATTTGAATCACAGTAAGTAATGAACACTGATTTG